ACACCCAACACCGCCCCCAACAGCACAGCGCGACCCCCACCAGGGGGGAGACAAAAACCACTTAAAACCCAAAAAAAAAAAAAAAAAAAAAAAAAAAAAAAAATATATATATATATATATAGTAATAAATCACCTGAAATGGATTTTTTAACAAGTGTAGCGGCAGCAGGATTAGTTAGTGGTGTAAATCGTAAAGAATGGTGATCTATGCTTGCATTAGTTGAAATTACATGACAAAGTGGTAAATCACAATACTTTGCTAAACAAGATCAACTTTTTGATGGCTTAAAAAATGAAGCAGTTAACTCAGCTCAAAAAGCATTAAATAAAGTTCTTGATAAATTAATTGAAAATAAATAATTTAATTTAGAAGTTAGTTTTGATTGTCAATAGAGCCATGTTCGTGAAGCACCAGCAGCTAGTAGTGAATTTATATATAATGGATTTTTAAATAGTAATTAAGTATAAAATATATTAAATTAAAATAAATTACTAAAAAATTTTACCTACTATTAGAAAATGATCATAAACCTATTATTGGTTTTCATGTTGTAGAAAAGCCTAGAAAATATCAAAAAACTGATAGACAAGTAGTTACAATTAATGAAGGCAATCATAACAGTAATTCTAGTATGATAGAATATGCAATATTAATAGCTATTATTGAACAAATATCGTCAGCACTTGAAACTTCAGAAATTGTTTTAGACGTTGGTATTGATGGAGATTTAAATAGTAATAAAACACTTGGTGCTCAAAAAATTGTTCATAAAATTTGTGCTGATTTAAAACATAAAGCAAAAAATGTTAGAGCAAAAATAGGTAATAATTTTTTTTAACTTTTACGAATTATATATTATAATAAATTTATATATAATATCTTTTATTAAAATTAGCCAAGAATAATAAATGGAAATATCTTGAATCACCGATTATGAAATATTATGTTCAATGTGTATATGTAGCAACTGCACGTGCTAGTGATCCTAATTTACCAACACCAACTGAAAAAGATTTGTTTAAAATGCAAACTGAAGGTGTAATAGCGCATTTGCAAAATAATCATAAAGATTGTTGGAATGAAGTTTGTTGGTTTACTGAAAATCCTGATATGATACTTCCTGATCCGAATTTAATGCTATATACTAAAAATCAATGTGAAATTTTGTTAAAAGATCTAAAACAATATATAAAATTATCAGGACAGGAATTAATAACAACAATTCGAACAAGTGCAAATGAAGCAGTAAATTGTATTAAATTAAATTATACAGATAAAAAAACCGATTATCCTAAATCCTTTTCTGCTAGACATGCTCTTGCAGTTCTTCATAATAATGATGGTCTTTTAACTTTGTTAGAAACAGTTCGAAAAGTAGCTAAATTACCTGAATTTTCTGAACAAGATATAATTAATATTATTAAAATATGGAAAAGTAGAAATGATAAACGGCAATTAAATATTTATACAATAAATGAACGAAATAAATCCAGAGCAACTAAATTTGAAGAACAAAAAAAACATTTAGAAGGATTTGATTATAATAAGGTATATTTTAAATTATTTAATAATTTAATTATATTTTTAACTTTGAATTAATAAGGCCATATAAACTTAATAAATCAGTTCTCATAACATAAAATTTTTGAAAGTAACCTGGTAACCCGGCTTTTAATTTTATTTTCAAAAAATTTTATATATAAATTTTTTAGAAAAACTCACCTAGATAGTAAATATACTTAAAATTTGTTTTTAAAGTTTTGCAAAATTTGACCTGGCTGGGGTTATGAGAACCAATTTATTAAGTTAGTATGGCCTAAAATTAATTGTGATAAATCTTTATAATTATTATATACTTATAATAATATAATAATTACAAAAACTTCTTACAATTAATTTTAATACTATAAAAATTGATTATAAAAATTCAATATTTCTTTTTTAATTATAATAAGTCTAAGGTCTTAAATATAAATTCTAATTAATAAAATAAATTAAAAATTTATAAATTAATTTATATATTAGGATCTGCTTCCTTATAAAATAGAAGTAAACGATGATATATTAGAACAAAAATTTCGACCTACCTTTGCATTGCTTATTCAAGATTTTGATATTTTTGTTAAATGCAATGGATGCTTATCTTTTCTAATAAAATATCCTATTGGATTATGTTCTATTTGTAGATTTTGAGCAAAATATAATATGAATAATTATATACAATTCAAACCAATAATAATGTATCTTTAGCCCAATCTTCAGATATAGATATCTTAGAAGCGCACTAAAAAATGTTTTTAATTTGTCAGAATATCAAGAATATCAAAAAGAAAGTATTGAATCTTTTATCAATGGATATAATACACTTACAATTTTAAAAACTGGAGGTAGAAAAACATTAATATATGCTATTGCATCTCTTCTATTCAAAGGATTAACAGTTGTTTTTACATCATTAAAGTCTTTAATAGACAATCAATTGGCAAGTATATACAAATATTATTAATTAAAATATATTATAATATAATTGATATTATTTTAGAATTTTATTTAATATCTACTAAAATAAAATTCTAAAACATAATTGTTATATTATAATATATTATAATTGACAATGCTCTATATATAAATACAAACCTTAATATTATATGCTATAGCATGAATCAATATATATGGGTATTCCTGCTGTGACTTTTTATACTTCGTCTGAACAACCTCCTAAATTACAAGAAAGAATTTTTAGTGAATTAGCTTCGGGATTAACAAAAATATTACTTTTTTTTTTTTTTTTTTTTTTTTTTCACTTAGGCAAAGTCGCGCCAGTGAGTTCTGTTTATTAAAGCCCTTCTTGT